ATCAAGAGCTTCTTTAGTTGGTGATCATTTCTTTTATTCTCATGGCCTTGATATGGGACTCAAGGGTGAAATTGTAGGGAGAAATTAGAAGCTAATCACTATTCAAAGGGTTCAGTTCACTGAGATGATGTACCAATAAATAGTAGGTGTGTGAAATCTAACTAAGAGCACCTTCTAATTGTTGAATCAAAACTACAGTTGTAAGGTCACTTTATAAATCTTCAACTAATAAATATGCAAATTTTCATATATTTTTGACATGTAAAGTTTTGAAAGTGATGATATATTTATATGTAAATCCAAAACAGATTTCTACCAAGGAAGCTCTGAATCCTATCAAACAAGACTGTAAGAAGGGAAAACTCAGATTTGTTCATAACTGCTTCCCCTATCATGGATACATATGGAATTATGGAGCATTGCCTCAGGTTTGCTATTTTTGGATAGTTTCAGTTCCTTGGTAATTAGGGAAAACCTGCTAATTATTGTTTCAAGTATTTTTCGTGGTCTGCAAATAACCTTTTCATGGCATGACATACCTACCATTTGCTACAAAATGATATAATTTTACTCTTGTACTGTCAAGTTGATTCTACCCTAATGAAAATCTTTGAAAAATGTTCAAGGATCCTAAGAGATCTTTTTCAGGACCTTTGAAGCTCTTGATGAGCTTGTCAAAGATCTATGAAAAATCTTTGAAGATCTTCTTCAGGACCTTTGAAGCTCTTGAAGACCATGTCACAGATCTAAGAAAATCCTTGAAGATCTTCTTCAGGACCTTTGAAGCTCTTGATAATCTTGTCAAAGATTTATGAAAATCCTTGAAGATCTTCTTCAAGACCTTTGAAGCTCTTGAAGATCTTGTCACAGATCTATGAAAAATCCTCAAAGGTCTTCTTCAGGACCTTTGAAGCTCTTGAGGATCTTGTCAAAGCTCTATGAAAAATCCTTGAAGATCTTCCTCAAGACCTTTGAAGCTCTTGAAGATCTTGTTAAAGATCTATGAAAAATCCTAGATCTTCTTCAGGACCTTTCAAGCTCTTGAGGTTCTTGTCAAAGATGAAAAGTCCTTGAAGATATTTAAAATTCTTGTCAAGATCTTTAGAGGTCTTTCATTTTCATGCCAAGATTTTGTACTCTTCTGGGGGAAATAACAGATCACATTACTGCCTGTAAACTGCCTCATATAGAAATTGTGTTCCTCATATGTTGCCACATACTAATTTTGTATAATTTTTTATACTATTATTTTAGACTTGGGAAGATCCAAAGCACAAAGATCCGAACACAGAGTGCATGGGAGATAATGACCCAATAGATGCCTGTGAAATTGGTACCATGGTGAGTATAATACTCAGCCAACTATTCTGTCCATTGCTTTATATTCCATTTTACAGTTGTGTGCTTGATTGCCAAACCTTTGAACAGGATGAGACAAAGGGTGACCTTGTTTTGATACAAATGTTGCTTCTTTTCAAATGTAAATTACTTTGTTATCATGCTTTTTAAGCGAGGCAAGCGTGGCCTAGTGGTTAGGGCGCTGCACTTGTAAGCCGGAGGTCCCGGGTTCAAGTCCTCCTCCCTGCCACTGGATGGATTTGTCTTCGGTGGCCCTGAATTCAACTCCTGCACGCTTTGTAAATAGCCAACTGGTCTGCCTCCTACCAGTTGGGGTTTTTAACAAGTTTCTGTTCATTTACGATATTTGTTTCCTTATTTACAGTGTCCCCAATTAGCACAGCAGTGCTAAATATACACTGACACTTAAATAAAGTTATTATTATTATTATTATTATGCTAAGTAGATACTGGTCTCTATTACACCAAGGTCACCTTCAGGCTTACTCCAGATCAAAGGCTAGGTAGCCAAGTACACAACTGTAAAATGGGGTAACTTCATCATCCAAGTGATAGACAAAGGGTTAACACTCAAAATGTCAGCTTTGAAACTCCCTGCAGAGGCTACTTTACATCATCAACTCAGTTGATAATACGAAATTACCCTGTTATACTCTCCCAGTGATATAGCACCACAGTTTCTTGGCAAACTTTCCCCTTTTAATCACCTTTCAATGGCCTATTTTGAATTGAAAGCTCTGTTTGGTACAATTTTAATAGTAATTTTTGTTTGCATTGAAACCTTCATTTGTTTGTTTCTTTGTAGTAGAATTACATGACAGAGCAGATTTTCTAGCACATTTCAGTCTTTGAGCATTGCTTGATATGCTTCACTCCCAGACCAAGTTTGTTATTCTCCTTACTGTCAATCATACAGTTTTTATAATGTTGGTTCCAAGAATTTAGGATTTAATCAACTAAATATACCTAAATTGAAATTTTTTCTCTATTCTTATCACTTATCTGGTTGACATTGTATTGATATTGTAAGGAGAAATTCTGTCTTGGTCACTCATTGGAGTTAAAGGGTTAAATCATTAATAATCTGCAGATTGCCAAGCAAGGAGATGTTAAACAAGTGAAAGTTTTGGGGACTGTTGCATTGATTGATGAAGGTGAAACTGACTGGAAAATTCTCTGCATTGATGTAAATGATCCTCTTGCCAAAGAGATGAATGGTAAGATAGCTTTTTGTGATAGTTTTAGTGTGACTAGTTCATGAAATACATTCAGGGCTTCTGCCTTCCCAATTCTGTGTAAAACCTAGGAGATTTATTGAGATGGCATAGAGATAACGAACTCCTCATGACATAGGATGCTGTAAGCACCTTCTCTGAACCAATCTTCCAAACTTATGGTCAAACTCAAAATCAAGGAATTAGTATTTTTGCTCCAAGTACATGGGACAGCAATGGCCATTTTTTTCGTTAACACACAGCTGTATAGATACATGTTGTACACATCTCTATTTGTTGTTACTAATATTTTAAGATTTCTGGTAATTATTATTACTGTTCAACTCAGGAACCATGAATACTTTGATGTAAATGGGACAGATAAATTGTGTCTTGACCAACTGAATCATGATAAATTTCAGGACATGCATGGAAACAACAAAACAACAAACAAACAGATCTATTTAGCTTGCATGTTTTGTTTGCCAATTGTAGGTGTTAAGGGATTTTCCAGCTTTACCTTTTGTAAATTATGCATAGATGACAATTCACTAGAGTGTTATGACATGACCTGAAATGGGTTTAAACTGGAAATACAAGCTGAAGAGGTCTATTATTGTTTCTGTTTGCAGTTTTGTCTTCTCATAGCTGATTGACTCATTCCCTAAAATTTTTCTGGTGTACACAGTTTTATAAGTATTACTTCAACAATATGGCTTTTTTTTTTCAGATGTTGATGACATTGAAAAACACATGCCAGGACTTCTCAAGGTATTGTGTGGAGGGCATTTTAAATTTTGGCAATGATAATGGGGGCTAAGATTTTGATAATGATCACAATGATGTGTTATGAAGAAGTCTGGCTTTAGAAATAACAATAGCAATGTTAATGATCAGTTGTGTCGTTTTATAGGCCACAGTTGACTGGTTCAAGATCTACAAAATTCCAGCTGGTAGCGGTGAAAATCAGTTTGCTTTCAACGAGGAAGCAAAGAACAAGGTACAGTTTATCTGATGCAAAGTTCTCCCTTCTGTTTGCAACTCACTACTTTATGAATTAGTATGGGGAATTTTTTCTCTTCAAGATAACACTCTGGAGCTGTTCATTTTGTAGTTCTTGTTACCATTTTTCTGGATAATGTTTTGATATGGTAAGGAAATGTTAACGAGTAATCTATCAAGGAGAAAGGGGTTCCAGATAAAAAATACTGATATACTAACTAACCGTTACTAAAAATGTTATAAGGATGTTGGGTGGATTATTTGTAAAGTGTTGAACTGATGATCAACCAAAGTTTGTTTCCCAAACTATATGGTTTTGTAACATTATTAAGAACTGATGTTAACTGATGTTAATATGGTCTTGAATTATTTAGGAATTTGCTATGAAGATCATTGGTGAAACACACGAATGTTGGAGAAAGCTGGTTCTCAAAGAGGTGGAAAATGACATAGGCCTCGCTTGGTAAGAAAATCTTAGTCCATTTTAAACAACTCAGAGCCCGCATTTTGTGGTGAAGACTGTTTTTTTTAAACAAATAACTCACAAGTGTTCGGCAAACATGGAGGTCTTTTGTAAGAAAAATAGGTGTACGAAATTTACAGGGGGGGAAGGGGCAGATTTAGATTTCGCTCGTCATTTTAGGGGGGTAGACTCTTGGCAGATCAACAATCTAACCAAGAAATTGGATGTAATCTTGTAGTAATCTTTTATTTTTAATTCTCTGAACAATATAAAGAGATAAGGTTTTCCAAGATAATTTTTTCCTTTCTCCATTAGCAAAAATGTCACAGTTGATGGATCGCCATACAAGATGTCTGCAGAGGAAGCAACTGGTATCCTTAATCACGTGAGTATAAGTAATTTGAGAGAATAACAGCATCGCAGTGGTCTTATTTCACTACGCTCTCTAATTGGAGTAATTTATAAAAAAACAAAAACAAAAACAAAAACGAATTCAGAATATCAATTGTTTTTTGAATTTCATTTAGGCGGCTAAAGTTGCTGATCCAAAACCCATTGACCCAGCCCAACAAGGTAGGTAGAAAAAAATATTTTTTATCTAACCAAGGAACTCATCCAGCCGAAGGTTATCCAGATTTCTTTTTCAGGAAGCGACTAGGAATAATTCTACTCCCTCCCCCTGGATTGAATCCTAGTCCGTAGTAGGACCCCCCCCCCCCTCCCTTCCTCAGCATTTTGTTAGGCTTCCATGACAGTTCCTGGATGAAGAGGCAATGTGAGAATGTAAAAGTGTCCAACCCAAGAACACGGCACTATTTGGTTTGATTCAGTTCAAAATCAAAACTGGAATTATCCCTGATAACATTTTGAAAGGAAACCCCCATATTTTATGCAAGTGCTAGATTCTTTTGGTAAGGGCTCAGTTAACGAAAAATCCTAGTTCCTTTGAGAAAATTCAAACCCTTCGTGGCAGACGTGAATGAACTTGATGCTTTCACACTCAATGTAATAACAAGCGACACTAAACGCCAGCAATGCGCAAGCTTTACTTCAAAATCCATACCGTACAACGTAATAGCAGTCCTATCGACTCGAATACTCATGTAAAAGAGTATCAATTTTCCTTAAGCACCGGCCGTAAGTGTCACAAGCACAGTATGTTAATGTATGATAACACTATATTAGTTAAGATGGCAATCAATGATCCAAAGAAATCTGCGATTATTTTGGTTTTTACTTTATTTCTTTGTGGTTGGTCCAGAAAACTCGCGCCAACCTCTCAACCAATCAGATGTAAAACTGAAAAAAAAGAGAATCACTAATTGGTCGCCTTCGTTTTCCCGCGCTTCAAACGCTTCCGCTTGTTTTCACCTCGAGTCCTTATTAGCTAGTGATGATGTCAATCTTTGTTCCTGGCTTGTCACTTCGGTTTTGCGACACTCGATCGCAAAGGGCTCTATGACGTACTCAAGCGATTGAAGTTAACTTGGTTTCTTTCGTTCTTTTTTCCTGCTAACAGTTGACAGATGGCACTACGTATCTGCCAAGAGACCAAAATTGTGAAAGAAATCTGTTCTGCTGTAACTTATCCATAGTTCCCTTGCTGTGCAACCTATCCCGCTTTCATGGAAGATGTCATGTTAGCAAAATAATGTATAATGAGAATTTCATTTACTGCGAAAAATAAACGAATTGTGAAAAGAGTCTCATTTCTGACTTTTATTGGTAAATGTTAGCCGCATCTTGCGACCTTCCATGGTTACTACACATTTCCCCTTACACCTTTTTCACCGTATAGACAAAGTAGAATATGTCCACCGCTTAAAGTGAATTTCCTAGCTTCGCACATGTTATCAGTGAAGGCCAATATTTTTTAATCAGAATGTCCGACATTGAGTTTATGTTTGATCAAAGCTTTCGGTAAACTTTCCTCGAAAAATCAATGAAAATATCCAAGCCGATTTTCCTCGTAAATATTTACTCGTTGTTTGCTCTTCCCTAATAAAAATATCCTGCCAGAATATCTTTTTTTTAACTATACGACAGGAAATTTCTCAGAAACAACAGATGGACAAGACACTTTTTTACTTTTTTTTTGTTTATTTTTCTTAAGAGGAAGTGTGCACGTAAACCATATAATTTTATCTCCCCTGTCAACAAGAATTAATGAAACTGAGTTCATTTTTACTAACAGCAGATTATGAAACTGAACGGTGATTAACTAAGGCGAAAAATTCGACTCAAACCGCTATCTTGAAAACAACCCAGTAATATGTTGGAGGATGCTCTTGATTATTAAACAAATTCTCCTTGTCAGCACCTTTGAAAATGTATGGAGAACAGTATGGAGAATATGGATACTGATGTTAGGGTTTAAAGGGTTCTTGGAGTAGCTTAAGCGTTCGAAAATTGAGCAAAAATTGGCGAAATGCATTTAACTTGCAACGCCATTTTGAAAACAACCTCGGTAAAATGGACGCACTTATCTGATGAGCTAAAATCTGAAAGTAGATTATTTTTGCGAAATTTTGATAAATTCAATTTATTGAAAACTCATTTGCGTTGATAGCTTAAGGAAATACAACTCATTTACTTTCACCTACAAGAAATCAATAATTCACTGATACACTGTAATTCTTCCTAGCTGTTTCAAATGATTTTCATAATAATAGTAACACCTAAAAATAATGTAACAATACAGACAAGTATTGACTGAAATAATTTCGTTTCGTTTGTTCGTGCATCTGATGATCCTAAAGCCATGCAGATGTTTCTACAATTCCTGTCTCTTGTTGGTGAAATACGCATTCACAAAATTAGATATTTGTTAGTTACAAAATGAAGAATATTTCTTCCCTTGCCAATTAAGTATATCTCTATTTTTCTCTTTTAAAGAGTTAGCTAGAAAAAGCCAATTTTTTTCCAAAAAAAGAATAAGTTTGGCAACTTTGTTGCCTTTCTAAAAAACATCAAAAAACTGAGTAATTGAGACCTGTGATAGTTTTGCGAAATTTGTTATTGACAAGTGCGTCAATGATACTGTGTTGCGTTCACAGCACCTTCAAATTACTATCTCTTTTGCATATTTTTTCACAAATTTGTTTTGTTTCAAGTTCCACAATGTGCGATGTGATTTAGCTCTGCTTCAATTTTTTTCTTCATAGATGGCGTTCCTTTGTTACCTTGAAAAAAAACATATTCGAGTATAATGTAATGAAAAACAGAAAAAAAATGTGACATCTCTGGGTCGAGCAAAATATGAAAATTCCCCGCAATATTTCATTCCCGAGCGGTACACTGGAGGGAACATGACAGCTTGTGCTGCACTCAGAAATTACTGGAAACAGCGGTTGCGTTATACAGTCGGAAGAGCTTTGTTTTAAAAGACAAAGTAACCAGGAACTAGCCAGGAACTGTTAAGCAAAACATCTCACTTTAATTGCGAGTAGAAAAAATCAAAACAAGCTATTTTTTCTTGTTTTCACTGCTTCACTGCGCTTGTAAAAGTGGAAAAGACTCCGCAGCAGAATTTATCAGAATGGGATCGGCGGTCAGTGTTGGTAAAAGCTCGGACGCCCGCGGAAAATCCCTTGTAACTCAGCTGAGACAGGAAAATGTTCGTTTACAGGCGAGAGTCGACAGGCTGTGCGTGGAAGGAAAGCGACTGAACGAAGAAATCAACACAATCCTCAAGGAAAGAGAAAAAGAGGAAGAAGATCTCAGAATAAAATGTGAACGCTTTATCCACCATTCGCCGACAAATGGTATGTGAAAAGATTTGTTGTTAACTGATTTAAGAGACGAATTCCAAGGAAGCACTGAGTGTTGCAACCGACGCAGTTGCCATCTCACCCGAGTTATATGTGAGTCGTTTTTATTTAACTGATTTCTGTAGGCTTAGAAGCAGTCGAAAATCTTCAATTTATTTTCTATATTTTTCAAACTTGCGGTCATAAGGCGAATAAAGAGCAGATTTTTTTTTTTAGTGAGTTAAAGTTCATTTATTTTCTTACGAAGAGGTGACTTTTTCCGATTTAGAGTCTATTGGGGAAGATAGCATCCAGAAACTTCCATCCAAAATTACATTTAAGAGATGTTCACTCCGAAGAATTCCAATGAGGGTTGAAACCAAACCAGTGTTTCCTGATATGAAGTAATTGTACTAATAAAAACGAATTTTGATGCTTGAAGGTTTTTAAACTCGATCTTTATTGCGTTTTATCTATCCTTATTAATCTCTTGTTGATTATTCTGAATATTTAGCTGGCCTGACATGCTTATGACAGGGTAATCTGGTATTTTAACTAGTTGATAACGTAAATAGTTTCAAAGCTGACGTTTCGAGCGTTAGCCCTTCGTCAGAGCGAATGTCTATGGTTCGTCCTCGCCAAGAGACTTGTCAAATACTTTTTGATGATTTATTTTTCGAATATTTTGTTTTAAGTCCCGCCTGCATCAAAAATATGAAGGGCAGCCTAGCTCCCAGAAGAAGAATCATCTAATCAACAGTTGCTATATCAAATTATAAACCTCGCTTAACGATATCGACAGTCCTTTGTACAGCAACAGCAAGCGTGGACAGCTTCTTCAAGTCTAAGAAAGCGTGCTCTTGCTTCCAAAAAATGACTGAAGAGATTCTAGCTTTAAGTTTTAACGGATAATCATGCTTTATTCCTTCTTTACCACTGACGCACCACGATAGTTTCTGTGTGAAACTAAAAGCCTCGCTCAGTGATATCGACGTCCCTCTGAACATCGACAGTGGGTTTGAACATCCATTTAAATTAACAGCCTCTTAAAGTCTCAGAGAAAATGTGTTCTTGCTTTTAAAAAATTGGCTTAAGAGACTAATGCAGCCGGAATGATTCGGTCGGGCCATTCACCGACAATGATCAAAGTTACTGATTCGGTCGGACCATCATTTATGTTGTCTTTGGTAACCAAGTAAACATGGCGGTCTGCATTTTCAAGAAAGAAAGTATTTTATTTAACCAATAGTATTAAAGTTGCCGTCAGCTTGTCGTTTGTTTGTTTGTTTTCGACAGGAAAAAAAATTACGAGCAGGTGATCCTCTATTCCGCACTGTATGGTGTTTTGAAGTTGTCTTTGATTCGTACATACTTCACTGATATATATGATATAAATAAGGTATTACACGTCTATTATCCATACGAAATTTATCGTCAAGTGGGAAAAACATCTGCTATCAACAAGCGAACATAAAAGTTCGTATCCGCGACCGCCATGTAATCTCCATCAGAATCATGTATTGAGGTCAAATATGAATTTACCCGTATGTACCGCATATTATAGTCAAAAGCGCCGTCACCTGACACGAAAACTCATTGGACGTATAAAAACGTGTTTAAAAAAAGCGCATGTACTGTCAATATTGCAAGGAAATTAATTTTCGAGTATCGCGATGAAGTAATTTGTGAAAATTAACCGAAGTACTAAAGAGTTTTAGAATCTATAGTATACGTGACAACAGCTGATAATCGTAAACAACGTGTAAGACGAAGTGGATTTCCATCGTCAAGAACGATAATTTTTTTTCTTTTCTTTTTTTTTTTGACGACTGTTAGCAATTTATGTAATAATGTAGTTGTATGACATTAAGCATTGCCTGCAGAACAAGCGTTATCTTTTGGCGTTGTTCAGTCTGCGAACAGAGGCAAATGCGAGGCGAACTTGAAGCGCGAGTCACGCGCGAGGGGTGAGAGCAAAGAAATATTCCCTTTTGCTGCTCCTACTCTCTCTTCGCGCTCGCCCCGCTCTTACCTCCGTTTGCCAGAAAAACGCCAAAAAATTACGGCTGTTCTCTCGGCTACGGTGAGCAGTGAAATGCTATGAAGGGTGCTGGATGGTAAATCATAGACTCATAAAGACACTGATTCCATTTGGATAGTCCGAGATCCAGAGTAAACCAACAATTTTTCGCTGCATAATGTATTTCTTATGCATAAATTCCCTCGCATTATTGCAAATTAATGATAGGAAAGTGCCGCGCTCGTTTTTAGCGATTATCTCTTATATTGCGTTTGTTTTTGCGACGGCTTGAATTTGGAAACGAGATATGTAAGTAGAGATCTTGCATTCAACCTCAAATTACCTTGCATTGTAGATGAGACCTTGAGTTATGAGTCGAGATGGTAAAATCTTGATTTGTACATAATAAATGACACCATTCGAGATCCTGATGAGCCACACTATTTTTCATCTTTCTAGCGGATGAGCGAGAAGTATCAAGTGGGAAAGAAGCTATTGGTGAACCTGAGGGTTTCACTGAGAAAGTCCTTCAGATAGAACTGGACAAGCTCATGAAAGAAAAGAGCGACTTAAAGAACGAGCTGGAAGAATTAAAGGCCACTGGTACATGCGAAGACCACATGGGCCTCCTCGTTTGCCAAAGGAAGAAACAGTCGATAGAACAGAGCAAAGTACTTTGAGTCACCGCATTTCCTCGAATAAGTGCCCACGCTCTGATTGGCGACCTGCCCCAAATAAACGCCCACCCTCTAGGCCATAATGCCAAATAAGAGCTCCCCTCGAATAAGAACCCCCTCCCCTCCCCTCCCCTCCCTCTTCGCTTTCCTTTTACTCTTGCCGCTTTATTTAAGATCCTTTTTAGCCTCAACTACAGCAAAATCAGAACAGGTAAGATAGTATAAACTCTTGCTACAGGCGAATAATAAGCGCCCCCCCCCCCACGATTAAGTGCCCTCCTTCCAATAAGCACCCCTCCCTTCAGCCGTCATTTAAATAAGCACTTGGGCGCTCATTTGAGGAAATACGGTATCAGCTCTTCAAATTTGCTGTATCAAGAACGCTTCTGAGCAATCCTACCCTTAAACTTTATCGATAGATTCGACGCGAATTTGGACGGTGATTGACGAACATGTATTTTACCAGCCTGGTTAAGTTTTTTAACCTTCAACTCCCAGGGGTGATTAATGTGTAAATTCTCCCTTTTATATCCATACATTATCCGCAAACGGGTAATGAGGATACTCAGACTTGAATATCAGCTGGAAGTTTTTATCTTGATCTGACACCATAATCTTGTAGCTAACTACATGTAAGTGTGTAGCAGCTAGAGAGGAGAATTATTGATCAGAGCTTGGGTATTAAAAGGCTTATTGAGTTGGAAACAATGTATGGGTAGATTATTTCTACGGCAAAAAAATTAAATCACATTGTAAGTCAAATTTTCTTGTAGACGCAAAATTCTCATCCAGTGCCTATTTTATTTCACGCATGTAAAGCCAGTGAAATATGCACCCATTGATCTGCTAGATATCAAGAAATACAGTTTGATACCTTGTACATGATTATTAACCAGTCGACCGTGAGCGATGTAAGAGCGAGGCAGTAGGATGTCAGGACTAAAAGAATTTCATATTTACGTAAGGTGCAGGGGTGATCATTTCACAATTTAAAACGAGCTCCTTCAAGGTACCTAGAAGACATCATTTCATCGGTATGCCAGATTCTCACCACCATAGGCACTACGTCTCAAAACACATTCAATCAATTCCTTGAGATGTTTGCCCTGAAAGGCCTCGAGGTTCTCCCTATTAATGCCGGATATGGTCTTCGGATTTTTAAAAAACCCTAACAAGGCATCAAATTTGTGTAATCAGCATCTTGAACAAGATACACCATGAGTCATACCTTCCGATTTTGTTGAATTTGAATTTAATTGTATAAAGACTTGTCATTATGGACTCAGGATGATTTAAAAGTCCAATTATGATAGATCAAGAGAATACCAATTATTCAATAAAAATTTCTCTTGGATAGATATGTAGACTATTTTTGCCTTCCCTATTGTAATTTCTGGCTGAATACGCCCATGTTTCATAAATGTGATTCGCGGTCTATCCTTTTTGGCGTGTTCTTATTTCAAGCCATTACCCCAAGGCTATTTTTCTTGCCGAGATTTCAGAACTCTCCACCCTTGTTCTTAAAAACAGCTCCTCGACCTCTTTCTCCATTTGTTTGTCTATTTTTCTTTTAAACTTTTTCTTTCTCTCATTAACTTCCATCTCTAGACGTTTCTTATTTCCTCGGCAGTAAACGTTGTCGAACGATTTAAGAGGAAACTTTTCTTGAATCTTCCTTACTTATCTTTGTTTCGAGAACTACCCTGAGGAATCACCTTTATTCTTTCTGAAGATCTATTGAGTAATTCATTGAAAGTTAGCCGAGAGAATTAAGATTTATCGTATTATATGAATCAGGATAACGTCCTCTAGCCAATATGTCTCTAATGATCAAAAAGTCACCTGCTTGTTGTGTCATGCAACGATTTTGTAGATGTTACTCCGAAATTTTATGAGTTAATATTGTAGCCAACAAGCTAGCTTATTCTGTCCATTATTTCTCAGACACAATGTTCTCTGTTATTTTTTATTTTTCGTGGCAACGCAAAAACTCTTCGTGCAGGTTAAAATTCTTAAAAATTTGAATTGCATATATCAGTTTATGTTGGAGAAAGACTTATTTCCTCTTTCGAAGGATATGCATAAGAAAGTGCAACCAATCAATACCTTTAAGTTCAAAGACGATCGTAGGAGTGTGACAACTGAGGAAATTTGGGTGAATCGAATGGCACGAAAGCAAAATGAGGCCCTATTAAGCAGTGACCCACGGGGAGTGACTTGGTGACAGCTTTATACAAGGCGACTGCTCAATACAGGTTCCAGCGAATAGGAATAAATAAAAAACGCCATCATTTTATGCCATAATTGACCACTAAATGTAAATGAAACATGGACCCCCCCTTCCTTAAAGAATACAACTGACACTGATTTCGGGAGAGATACATGGATTAAATTTTACTTGAAAGATTATTCTTTGTTTCATTTGTGTGTACCCGCCTCAAGCGACTGTTCAGTGCACTACACGTGACTACTAAATAGAAGTGAAAATTATATTACTGTCAAGTTAAGGGGAAACAAATTCGGGACTTTGACAACCAACCGCTCAACACGGGGTGACCGCTTCATACGGTTCCGCTTAATACAGGTTCGACTGAATTCGGGTAAAAAAATATAGGGATACAGGATACTTTTGGAAAAATTTACGCGATACAGAATATCCTAAATAGAGATTCCGACGTATCGAGCTGGAATTTCAGGGATATAAATCACAGGAATTAACTGGATACGGGACATTTAGGCCAAAATTTAATAGGATGCGGGATACCCAGATATCCCCCTCGGCTTCTAAAATAAAATCAGCGTGACAGCTGACTAATTGTTTGGGTTTTCCCAACAAATTGGACTTAATTTCCGAAAATGTTCAAAGGACAGCTTTCTAAGGAAAACCGTTAGAAAAGAAATCATTCTTTCTTCTTAACAACGATCATTTTCTTACACAAACAGTTAATCTCACATAGCAAAAACAACAACTAAATAAATCACCTGGAAAACGAAATAAATTCAATTAAATACGGAGTTTCTAGCGAGCGTACGCCGTTTAAACGAATTTCAGCGCCTATATGGGAAACGCAGGAAGTTTAATGTCGTATCGCAGGCGAAGCAAAATGGCAACCGAAATGAGAGCGGATAATGCTCGTCTCCAGACTAGAATTCAACAACTGTGCGATGAAGCTTCCAAATTGAGAGCAGAAATGAAGGAAATAGCCCTGTCGAGTGATCACGGAAGAGTAGCTGATACGCAAACGGAGAGTGTTACGCAAGAAGAGATGTGTCCTTTGCCAGCTATCGATACGAAGTAAGTCGTACGTTCAATCTCGATTTCTCTTTTATCTGATATATAGAATTTTAGGGGATTTACTTACCTGCAAGAGAGATTTTGAATTGACAGGCTGGAGACTTTAATATGACACACTTTTTTAACTTTATTCATAAATTTGATATTGTTTGAAAACACTGATTTGGTGAACATTCATAGAGTCGAATGATCTGTTGACTCGTAAGAATTGTTACGTTAAGCGTTGTAATGTTCAGCTGAGTGCTTTAAAATGGGTGTGACTTTGGTGGCGATTTTGCTCCTATTTGGGATACATTTGCTTTCAATACTACCAAGTTCGCATGGATTTTAGGAAAAGTACATCGAATTTGGCTTAAACATAACTTTGGCCTCCAAACAAACCATTCGGGCCAGACTTGAAGCGGCCATAAGTCGTTCTCACCAGTGACCTCGTTCGTTCCGCTATCTATATGCTTCGTCTTCAAGGAATACTTTCCGGCGACTTCTTCAAATGTTTCTATTGCTTGGTGGCAATATTGAAAGCAATCCAGGTCCTCAGTATAAGCATCCTTGTGGTGTATGTACCAAATCCGTTATAAGTTACCAAAATGGGATCCAATGTGATATGTGTGAAGTCTGGTTCCATGCAAAGTGTGATGCTACTGATTTGCAAATGTATGAGGTTCTCGGCAATTAATCTCTCACATGGATGTGTTCAAAATGCGGGTTCCCTAACTTCGCTGACTCATTTTTCAATGATTCGATCGATTCTCTCTCCTCATCCAATTCACTTTCACCACCACAGGACACACCAACTGATTCAGGAACACCGCCGCAAAACGTTCATTCGACGTATCACGAAAACAACAACAAATATATATAAAAATTAGTCGAAAGCCACAAAACTAAACACCACAACAGAGAGAGGCTTGTTTTGGGACCGGAAAGTTTAATAAATGTATATATCCGACGTAAATAACACACCAGACTATTACATAAGAGATATTTGACGAATACACTGAACCAACGGTCCAGTAGTCAGGAATAAACGGCAAACCCAAATGAGATGAAGAGACAATCAGAACTGTCAATGGTGTAGGTGGGAGGGTTCTATTTAAATATGAGCGTGCGCTCAGTGCTAATTTCGACTATATTAATGACTACAAAAAGTTTTTGTTTGAACTAATGCAGTTGTTTTGACCGAACACAAGATGATAGTATCAGGGCTTCAGTGAATGCAAGGAAATATTAGGTGGATCCAACGAGAAATGTGTAGTTTTTATGTATATATAGCTTCAGAATTGAGTAAAATTTTATTAGTGGTGGTTAGTTTGCATCGTGATTCGTAATTTTGAAATATGGCCGTAGTCCTGCACCTTTTTTTCCCATGAAGGGTGGGGAAGGTTGCGAGCTTAAGGAAATTTTACATTTTCAGGTTTTCAAAGCCAATTTTTCCGCCCTTGGGTATCCAATATATGTCTAACTTCCACATCCGGGGATCAAAGACATTGTATGCAAATTTCAACAAACAAATTTCGTCAGGTGACTTCCAAGATGGCGGATGACCCTAATTTCCAGTTCCACCCGATCTTTCAAGATTGCGGCCTGGTCAAATTCGCGACTCAGAAGCATTGCGTAAATGTCAAAATCTCCTCTCAAGTGGAGGTCCTCTCAGTCAATTCTCCCTGAGTAGACCCACCCCCCCGCCCCCGCCCCCAATCCTAGGACAAACCATTGATAGGTGCATTTTAACCTAAACGGAAGTACTACACCCCGTCCCTGCTGAAAGAGACTCAATGCAAAATGTAAAAAAGAAAAACGTAAACAAAAAAACAAAAACAAAAAAACTGAAAGATATAAGCGAAAATATCAAAACAAAAACATACAAGCCCGTCTCATGACTACAAATTAATAGCTGTCTAACTCAATTCTTGAATCGTAACTGATCCGAGGCATTTTTCTTTCCCTTGACAGAAATATAAAATGGGTCTACAACCTACCTCGGCATTCTGATCAGTGAAACTGCCGAGAAATGAAGAATCTTGGCCAGGTGGGAAATACATGAGGATTTCCAGCATTACTAGCGAAATGAAATCACTAGTGGACATGCGCTTTTATTCAAGAGATCGTGCAGGATTCACGTATTCTGAAATGCTTTTAACCTTAGGATTGCCTTTTAGTTTTTAGTTTGCTACTGTCTCATTCTCTAACCCTTTAACTCCTAGAAGTGATTAACACGTAACTTCTCCCCACAATACCCATACATTATCCAGTAAACAGGCCATGAGAATACTTCAACTTATCAGGTAGAAGTTGCTATCTTGATCAAACAGTAAATTCTTATAACTTGTTCAGAAGGGAATGTGTAGCAGCCGGAAGGGAGAGGTACGGGGCAGATCTTGGAAGTTAGAGTGTTAATGAAGACTTTCACTTTTACTTACTTCATTACAAACAGCAAACTTTACTTTTAATGAGGGAAACAATAATTTTTTTCTCTCTTTCCTTTTTTTTTTAACCAGTAAGAAATAGTGTATCGTCATTTGTAAGCAATGTAACATATATTTCTTTCCTGCTTTGTAAATATGTCTTTACTAAATGTGACCCTTGGTTTTTACTTATTGACTGAGTGGGAAGGCTGGAGAAAATATTTGGCTATCCATCTTGATGTAAAGGCTGAAAGCCGAATATTTTTCTGTCCTGCCCAACTTAGCTCAGTCATTAAGTCACTGTCGTCAATCTTTCTTTTTCTTCCTCTCTAATGACACAGGATTGGCTACTTTTAGATCCAACCATGGTCTCCAAAGATGAGAGTGATCCATAAATAGCTTACGAGAGATTATCTGAGGCTCACATAGGGAAGGGCAAGTCTCTTATGCCCCATTCACACCAAAGCTTAAACATGTTTAAAAGTTGTTTTGTTAAACACAGTTTAATTTTTTTTTTCTTCATAGAAACTATTTAGCCGAATATTTTTGATTTGAATGTAGCACATTGGAAATGCAAGTTAGCAAGTACTTGAATCCAATGGAAAATCAAGTTTTTCAGTTCTCTGTTTATAATTTTCATTCAATGAAAACCAGTTTAACAAAACATGTTTTGCTGGTGTGAATGGGGTATTAGACTAATCCTCTGTTGTAAGACTTGCCAAACAGCATTCAACAAGCTAGAAGTTGATAAAGTGAAGAAATTCTTAAACTAAAAAAAAAAGGCTAGAGTGGTATTTTGACCACACATCTTTATTGTTGTACAACTTAATAAGTAAATAACTATGATTGCAAGTTTATAACTAGTTTAAATGTCAAGTTCTGGTACTGGTATAAAACCTGTGCTAACAGTTTGAACATTGAAATCATTAATAAAAAATATTTAGTTGGTAAGGACATCATTGTGATGATCAAGCCAGATACAACCTACCAGTAGTAAGAGCAAAAATATGATAAAAAGATTCAATGCTCCAATTTTCTAAATTAATCAATCCAACTAAATATTTGGTACCACTGCATAAATATACATTACATTGCTGAATATAATTATGTAAATTGTATATAAAACCATCAACATGAAGATCAGTTAGAACCTTAAAAAGAAAACTGTACCTAAATATCTTCTACATTCATTACCCAATAATGAGTTTCAATTGGTTGCAAAGCATTGCGAGTCTACAAGGTTCTTGGTCAATGAAGATAAGCAAAAAAGATGCATAGAAATGGTGAAGCCATTTCCTCAACAACTGTACCTGCTTGCTCATCATTTTTCCTGCAAGCGCATTTTTGTTCAATTGCCTTCATTGATTGGGAACCTAGCAAAGGCCATAAAGTCTACGATTGCTAAAAAAAAAACCAATAATTTAACCCTATTGAAACTTCCTGTATGTGCATTTCTGAGCTACAAGCAATGAATAAAATCATATTGAGGCATAAAATTATATTTTATGCATTGTAAGAAGTAAACGAAACCAATTTTTTTTTTTTTGGGGGGGGATGGGGTGAGGAGGTAACCATTTTCCCCAAGACTACATCATTTTTGAATTAACAAATCTCCCACCAAACATTGGTTGTTGCCAGTGCTCCAGGCACAGCAATTTTGGCCACTAGAAATAAAATTTCAGTCACCAACGTAAGAGAGAAAAAGAAACTAAACAAAACCCTCCATACCTTTCACCCCGGGACAGACAGAGCTGTCATACTTCATGCAGATTTACACCTCACTTATATCTAATCCCTAAACAATAGGGAATGAAACATTTCATCTTCACGTACGACAACCAAACACAAATCACCAATCTAGCACGTTCTCCCTGAAAACTTATTAGCCGAAATTTTTTGCTAGACCAAGTAAGTCACAGCTTAGAGCACTGGATGGTTTCACAAAAATATTTACATTACCAGAAGACCAGAATTAAGGGTACAATTCTCACCTGGAATTTTTCATCAAACTGGTGATATATATATATATATACGTATTACTAGCAACAGTTCCACTAAAAATTGGTACTATAAATACTAAAACATCTACTTAACCCTTTAACTCCCAAGATCTGATTGGTAATTCTTCCTCCAGCTTGAACACATTTCTTTGTAATTAGTTATGAGAATTTGGTATTAGATCATCATAAGAGCTTCTATCTGATAAGTTTGAGCACTCTGATTACCCTTTTTACTTGATGATGTAAGGATATATAGGGAGAAGTTTAATGTTAATCAATTCTGGGAGTTAATGGTTAAAGAAATTGAATGATCAGAAAGCTCCAAAGAGTACCCCTGAAGAGTCATTAGAGAATCTGAAGGAAAAAAAAAATGACAACTTCATATGCTATGTTTACGCAATGGTAACAAACTCCACCCCTAAAGCTATTGTTTCTTAAAAAGGTTTTGCTTTCCTCCTTACAAATGTATGACTGCCACAACACAACATTCTAAACTGTTTGTTTAAAACAAACAAAACAACATCACCAAGGCAATGGTTTATCATAATCAATAACATTCATAAATCTTCTTAGTTAGCTTTGTTTTGGAATGGTACAGGGCTGAAATCTTTCCACATTTCCTTTCAAACTCTGACTCGCTTTCTCATTTTTCTTAGATACTTATCCATCTCTTGTTTAGATTTTTTCTCCCACTCTTCCTTCTCTTCATCTTCTAGCCTCTCCCATCTCTTTCTGAGCTTTTTATTTAACTTTTTATCCGATATGTCGGGATGCTCTTCTTTGATTTCTTTCTTCATCTTAGAAGACCAAAATTCAAATGCGGTCTTGGGAGCCTTTTCTTCTGGAAAGTTTTCAATGAAATACTGCATCAATGCGCTCTCGTATTTCTTTTTATTCTCCAAGTAATCGTCGTGATACTTTTTTTTCTTTTCTGCGCTGAGCTTCCTCCACTTCTTACCAATTTTGGCCAGCAATTGCTTATTGTTCAGATCTGAGTATTTCTCGGCCATCTGCGGTCGTCTTTCCTTGCTAAATAGGAGATAGGCTGATAAGGGTGCTTTTGGGAGCGCATCATCTATTTTTCTTTTCCTAGATCCTGCATTGGCGTGTTTATCTACCGCCCTTTGCTTCGCATCCTCGAGAATCTCTTTAGCATTTCTCATTTTTCTGACCCGTAACGTCAAGATTCTCCAGCGTTTGTGAACCTCGTCTGTGGTGAAATTATCGAATGCAATATCACTCCATTTAATATCTTTAACGTAAATTTCTTTCCTTTCTTCACCATCTGCCAAGTATTCATCGACTTTTTCAAACAATTTGAGCTCCTTTTCATGCGTCCAGGTTGACGATTCTTCTTGAGATTCATCGCGCACGCTTTCACCATTCACGGCCGCCATTTTGGACGCCACGAGCGTGGCTGCTAATGTTAGGTTCTAGTCTCCCACTCTGGGCAGTCATCTATCTGTCGAGTCACTCTGAGTTAAATCTTCAAGATGGCGAGCGGTCTCTTCGGCCATGCGGGCCGATCTTCGTCGAAAAATCTCGTCGAATTCCGCGCTGGAAAAATGACTATGAAAGGCACTACTGTCACGCCGGATAAAAGAAAGGGAATGGTGTACATTTACCAGAGTGAAGATTCACTTATGCACTTCTGTTGGAAGGATCGAGGCACAGGAAATGTTGAGGACGTAAGTAGAAATTCTTGCAATAAATTCTTTTGTCTCATTACGTACCCTAGTTGATTTGGAAATTCTTTGCCTAATACTTCAAGATGTCACTAAGTTAAGCGTCACTAACATTTTGGTTCACGATAACACACTGGAACACTGGAATTTATATCAGATTCGAAAAAATTATATATCGTGAACGCTAATTATTAGACTAGTTAAATTTTTTGGAACTGCATCTTGCCTCGATCTTCTTTAAGACAATCGTCAATCGATCAGCTTTTTTTATCGTTATTTGACTTGGTTTGATGTCGTCAAGGAATTTGTTACAGAGTAATAAAATGAAATAAACTTGGAAGGCGAAACGTTATACGAATCTCTATAAATATCATGGCATACAAGCTTAGTAGGGGCTACTAAAAATAAATACATTGTAGTGTTGACATATTCAGCATCTTTCAGTTAATTTGGGACACTGTTAATGCCGGTAAAATTTCGGCACAGCCCCATACTATTATAAAACAAATCTGTTTTTCCAATGGCAATGTATCGTTTTTGTCATTGTTTTCTCTATCCAAGAACTGAATGCATAGTGTGGAATGGGACTGTGCAGAAATTTTACCTAAATGCCTCTTCAAAGCGTAGAAAGGGGAAATAGAGTGTGCCCCTGTAAAACTCCCAACTTGTGAGAGGCAATTCAGTTTAATTTGGATCTTAAATAAAAATTTAGACAGACAAATTTTGATCACATCTTAAAACGTCTGGGATATGCCACCACAAATATCAGAGTTCATACAAGTTATGGAATTTGACATCATTTTCTAGGCCTACTCAGTCATTTTTTTTAAGTCAGTCACTGACCAAAATTATCAAGAATTCACCGACTGTTGGAAAATTTCATAATTAATTTTATTTTTCCAAAACAAACCTTTTATAAACCATCTAAATGAGTTTCATTTTAATAATCTTTCAGATCTAACTGACTTAACACAATCTAGACTATGCATTAACAACAGAATCTCTTGATTGTTGAAAAAAATTCTCCTTGTCAACACTCAGGAAATGTATAGAGAACAGTATGGAGAATATGCATACTTATGACAGGGTGTAAAGGGTTAAATTGAAAGTAAAATAATTTTGTAGGCTGAAGAGAATATGAACACTAAATAAGAACAGACACTGCACTTTCAATTCAAATAAAAAATGATTTCTTTACTTTCAGGATCTCATCATCTTCCCTGATGACATTGAGTACAAGCGCGTAAAACAGTGCACTACAGGAAGAGTGTTTATCCTGAAATTCAAATCATCCACTCGCAAGTTCTTTTTCTGGATGCAAGAACCCAAGACGGACAAAGATGAGGAGTATAGCACCAAAGTGAACAATTTGCTGAATAACCCTCCCACCCCAGGGTCAGGTGGTGGTGGCAGTGGTCTCCCCCCTGCTTTGGCTGGGCTAAGTGAACAGTTGGGTAAGAGTGCTTAGTACTTACAGAATGCATGACTTGCAAGATGCAAAGACCTTTGTATGAAAATCAGTGACAACTCTCAACAATATAAGCTACAGTAAACACTGGCAGATAACCAGCAGCATTTTTTCACACAAAGCAGGGTACAGCTTATCTGTAAGAACATCTGGAAAACTTGCTGCAAATTTGCATGAATTAGAACTCTTTATTGAAAATTTATAAGTCTGTTAAACCTTTCCCTCTTAAGATCTCATTAGTAATTCTCCTTCCTGTCTGCCATCAAACACACTTATGATGTCAGTTTGGAGAATTTGGTATTGGATGAACTTGTAGTCCCCTACATGTAACTGAGTTTTCTTCTTCATTCTCCTCACTTGTCCGCTTGCTACTGTATTGATATTGTAAAGAGAAATTGTGTCTTGATCACTCATGGGAGTTGAAGTGTTAACTAGGAGCTGATGCTACGTTGAAACCAATTTGGCCAAAAAACAAATAAGAGGCATGCTGGCCCTTCTTGATTGGATTGCACCAGAATATACTCAAAGAAACCTGTAAATGTCTTGGCCAGGAACAAGGGCCAGAACATATTGTACAATAGACCCAGCTCTCTTGACATGGAACCAAAGTTTCATACTTTTTTGATGGATAACCATTGTGTCATTTAACAGGTGATGGTCAGTTGCAAGGCTTGTTGGGAAATCTGGACCAGCAGCAGTTGCTTCAGTTACTGAGTGGTTACGGAGGATTGGGTGGGCATGGTGGGTTGTCCAGTGCTGGCAGCTCTATAAGTGCACCTACTGCTGCTTCTCCTACGTGAGTAGGCTACTATTTTATGGAACAAAATATAGCTGAACCCTTCCACAAGATCACACCTTTAATCCTTTCACTCCATTGATCTGATTATCAGTGCTTCAGACTGTTTTTTTACTACATTCTCTCATAAATTTTATGTCTGAGAATTGTTTTTAACCCTTAAAGTCCCAGAAGTGATTAATATGTAACTTCTCCCCATAATATCCATACATTATTCAGCCAACAGGCAAGAAGAATACTCAAACTTATCAGATAGAAGTTCTTACCATGATCAAACATCAAACTCTCGTAAATCATTTATAAGGAAATTTCTAGCAGTTAGAGGGGAGAATTACAATCAGATCTTGGGATTTAAAGGGGTAAATTAAGCAATATCCTTAGGAAGTACATGATTATATTTGTCACTCCTCATCATCTTTTTGTTGGAAGATGAATTGTTGTCGTAAGGTGAAAATCTCTTTGATCACTTCTTGGAGTGAAAGGTGTAACCTTTAAAAAATTGCACAAATTCTCCCAGTATGGAGAATATGCATTCGAATGTTAGGGTGCAGAGGGTTAATACCACCATCTTGCTCCCCAGAAATATGAATCTCCCTTGTTTTTATTTGATAAATTCTTGGTGACTTTTAATTTTGATTAAGACAGATGTATGTTTACATTTCTTACACAGGCCTACGAGGGTACAGTCCTCACCAGGACCCAGGAGCACTTCCTCAGCTTCATCATCAGGGACTACCACACCACGCCCTGCAACAGCTACTCCTTCAGTGCCTCCAGCTCCCCAATCCCGTCCAACACAGCCTCGGCATGCTGTGCAGCTGACTGACTTGCAGAATATTCTGTCCAACATTCAAGGTGAAACTAGTTGAAAGCAATATAGTGTGTGAGAAAACATTTCAGAGCATTCACTCTAACATGTAAGCAACCTCTATACGAGCTCTCCATTCTGTTTTCTATACATTTCCCACGGTTTCTTACAAGAACACATTTTCTGCACTTAACAATCAACAGCTTCTTTAGTTGGTGATTATTTTGTTTATCGTCATGACCTTAATTTTTGATTTAGGAGTGAAACTTTTGGGAGAATTGAAATGCTTATCACTGTTAGCCGTTAAAGGGTTCAATAGATAATTATTATGGTAGTTTTTCAAACGTTTTATTTGTGACTGAGTCAGAATTTTGCCTGTTGGCCTTTGAAGAGGAATTTAGATATCTGTGAGTTGGTGCGATAAACAACTTGGAAATGAAAAACATGAAATTTGTTTTTAGACTGCAATATATTTAACCCTTTACACCCTAACATCAGTATTGATATTCTTCATACCACTCTCTGTACATTTACTAAGGTGCTGACAAGGAGAATTTGTCTAACAATCAAGAGTTTCTTTTAGTTGGTGATCATTTCCTTTATTCTCATGACATTAATGTGTGATTCAGTGGTGATATTTTAAGGAGAAATTAGATGCCAGTCACTCTTAGGGGTTAAAGGTTCAAGAGGCTATTCATCACCCCTGTTATTGACTCGTTTAATCCTTTTGTGATGATGTGATACAAGGGTACACATTACTTGTGAGTTAAAATACAATCAAGGGAGAACAAATAGAGATTTTTCCTTCCTAATTTCACTCAGGTAATTTAGTGTTAACAACTGGGTTATAAATGTAAATTAGCCACCGTAAAGGGTAAAAAAGCTGACGTTTTGAGCGTTAGCCCTTCGTCAGAGCATTAGCCCTTTGCTCTGACGAAGGGCTAATGCTCGAAACGTCAGCTTTTTTACCCTTTACGGTGGCTAATTTACATTTTCAACCCAGTTGTTAACACTAAATTACCTGCTATACTCTCCCACCAACACAGCACCACAGTTTCTTTAGAAACTTACCCCTTTATTAATTTCACTCAGTTTGGTTCTGTTGATTATTTAATTATTTTTGAACAGTGCCTGCAGAAAATGCGGAACAAGCAAGCCGAGAGAGTAAGTTGAATGTTCCTGATTATTACTTCCTAATTTACATGGCCTCAGCTCTTATGATATAAAATTGAAATTCATTGCTATTTTTTGATAGTTTTCCTTTTGAAAATAAACTGAAACTATGAGAGGGATTCTGGAACAATTCAAGCCTGCAGCAAAAAGGAAATGTTTTTTTTAATTTTACAAGCTGGGCAGTTTCAGAAGGACCATGCACTGAGAATGGTGAAGGTATTCACCCTTTACACCATTACATCAGTATGCAAGTTCTCCTTACTGTTCTGTATACACTTCTCATGGTACTTAAATGGAGAATTTGTTTAACAATCAAGAGCTTCTTGGGTTTGTTATTATTTCCTTAATTCTCATGACCTTAATGTGTGATTCAGGGGTGATACAGTTGGGAGAATTTAGATGTGCATCACTCTCAGGGGTTAAAGGGTTAATCTCTAGTCCATAACAGTAGTTTCTCCTGAAATCTTTTCAGATGTGGATCTGTCCAGTGTTTTTACTCCTGACTCCATCATGCCTTTGTTGTCGGACCCAGAGTTCCGTGAGCAGCTTGCTCCTTTTCTTCCTGCTGGTGAAGAGCTGCCTCAGAGTCCAACTGAGTTGTCAAACACCTTACGCTCACCTCAGTTTCAGCAGGTACTGTATGACAATGGGATGGTGTGCGGTCAACCCCTGACACCTGAACCTCAGTGTTCATATTATCCACACTGTTTTTTATACATTAGGTGCTGACAAGAACAACATGTCTAGCAATCTAGAGCCTCTTAACCCTTTAACTTCCAGATCAAATTTGTCATTCTCCTTACTGTCAACCATACAATTCTTAGAATGTTAGTTCCAAGAATTTAATATTGGATCAACTAATTATCCCAAATTTGATATTTTTCTTTATTCTCGTCACTTAGCAGGTTGATGTTGTATTGATATTGTAAGAAGAAATTCCGTCTCACTCTCTCATGGGAGTTAAAGGGTTAAATTGGGGATCATTTCCTTTATTCTCATGTTTATTACATTTTATTTGAGGCAAATACAGTGAGGAGAACTTAGAAGCCAGTCACTCTGAGGGGTAAAAAGATTGATCACTCTTGTCAGTTCACTGGCCCCCTTAATTCTGCAGCTTATCCCAATTTCATAGGCATGAAGTGAACTGAACTGTCAATGAGAACCAGAAGCTGGCCAAAGCCAGTGGATAAACTGCCATCTTGAGCTGGCTATTTGCACCTTATAGTAGCAAAAGTTCTGATAGAAAATTGTACATTATTTTTATAAATACAGTACAATCAAAGAAATTTGAACATCAGTTATTTCCTAGTTTGATAGAAATTGAATGCAAATTTACCAGTGACAGAATTTGTGGCA